CTGTGGCTCAAGTGGTAGAGTGCTAGCCTTGAGCTGAAGAGCTGAGGGACAGCGCCCAGGCCCAGAGTTCAGGCCTACGACCGGATTAAAAAAAAAAAAAAAGAAGGTAGGGCTAGGCTCATGCCTATAATCCTAGCTACTGGAGGCTGAGATCTGAGAATCATGGTTCAAAGCTAGCTAGGCTGGAAAAGCCCCCACGAGATTCTTATCTCTAACTATCCACTCAAAAAAAAAAACCCACCAAAAACCCAGAAGTGGTGGAAATGATACTTTGGCTCAAGTGGTAGAGCGCTAGCCTTGAGCTGAAGAGCTGAGGTACAGCGCCCAGGCCCAGAGTTCAAGCCCCACAATCGACGAAAAAAAAGAAAAGGAAAAGAACCAGAAGTGGTGCTGTGGCTCAAAGTGGTAGAGTGCTAGCCTTGTGTAAAAGAGCTCAGAGAAGCATCCAGGCCCTGATTTCAAGCCCTACAACTAAAGAATAAATGAATGAATAAATAAATAAATAAATGAAGGCAGGGTGGCACCTCTCTGTAGTCCCAGTACTTGAGTGGTGTAAGCAGGAGACTGAAAGTTTGAGCCTGTCTGATCTAAACCCAAACAAAAAGAAGCAGAAGCACTGGGTATGTGGCTCAGGAGTAGAGTGCTGCCCTAGCACAAGTGCCACTTGAGCCACTAAACCACTTCCAGTTTTCTGAGTGGTTTATTGGAGATAAGAGTCTCAGGACTTTCCTGCATGGGCTGGCTGTGAACCACAATCCTCAGATCTCAGCCTCCTGAGTAGCTAGGATTACAGGCATGAATCACTGGTGCCTGGCAAGGGACACTTCTTTTTAGTAGTAGGAAGGTTTGAACTGAGAGCTTAGTTCTTACCAGGCAGGTCCTTAAGCCATGCCTTTGTCCCAGAATATCGTGTGTGTGTGTGTGTGTGTGTGTGTGTCTGAGTGTGTGTGTCTGTGTCTGTGTGTGCGCACGCGCACGCTAGTACCAGGACTTGAACTTCAGGGCCTTGGACTCTTAGCATTTTCTTGCTCAAGTTTGGTGCTCTGCCACTGGAGCCACACCTCCATTTCTAGCTTTTTTGCTGGTTAATTTGAAATAAAAAATTCTCAGATTTGTCTGGGCTGGCTTTGAACTGGGATCCTCACATATTAGCCTGCTGAATAGCTAGAATTATAGGAATAAGCCACTGGCACCTGGCTTGCCAACTTCTTTTTGCCCAGACTGAACTTGATCCATGGTCCCTTGATCTCTGCCTACCAAGTAGTTAGGATTACTAGATTTAGGTTTAAGCCTTCATACCTAGCTTCTAATTTTTGTTGCCAGTTCCAGGACTTGACTCAAGGCCTCTGGCTCTCAGCCAGCCAGCCTACTTATGGCTGGTATTCTTACCACTTGAGCAAAGCCTCCAGTCTAGCATGCTGCTAGTTAACTGCAGATGAAGTCTCACAGACTTTTCTGTCTTGGACAACTTCAAACCATGATCTTCCAGGTCTCTTGAGTAGCTAGGATTATATACGCATGAGCCACTGATGCTGCTTCCCCCACCGCTCTGTGGTGCGAGGGCTCAAACCCAGGGTCTCACTGTCTTACAAAGCCAGTCCTGCTTTTTTTTTTTTTTTTTTTCTTTTTCAGGCAGGAGAAGTTTATTTATTGAACTGCTGCCCCGCATGGCTGCTTTTTTTTTTTTTTTAATAACAAAACTCATGTAATGAGGTGAGAAAAAAAATCACAGCAGAAACACAAGCAGGAGATCCTGAAACCCAGACGAGGGTTTGCGTGGGTCTAATAAATTGAGCAGTGTAGAAATAAATGGAGACACAGATCATACTTAAAAAGAATGCAGAAGCACAGCTGAACTTGGGCTCCTTTTATGAAGAAATAGGGAACCTGGGTTTTTTTGGAAGCCAGCTGTTCCTACAGGACAAGTCACATCTTTTGCTGCTTAGTGGCGTGAGCATCTTCAGCTTCCCTCCAAATACCTTTCATGACAAGGACAACCAAAGAAAGGCCACTGTGAATCTCTTAAAGCTTAGGAGAAAATGTGGTGGCTAATGCCTATAATCCCAGCCCTAGACCCCTTTTCTCAAGCAATCATTGGATGTGGTGTCCTGTGCCCAACATCCCAGCTACTTCAAGAAGCATAGGACTGTGGTACAGGTCTTAGCAAGAGTGAGACCCTATCTCAAACACCTGCCAAACAATCATGAGGTCTTGAATTCAGAGCCCATTACTATCCTCCACCAATCTTTTTTTTTTAAATTACTTTATTGTTGTTCTAAAGGTGATATTCAGCAGGGTTACCTTTAAATATGTCAAGTAATAAGTACCTTTTGCTTCATACCATCTGTTCCCTCATTCTCTCCCATTCCCTCCCTCCCATCTCTGTCCATGAGATGTGTGGTTCACTATCATCAATGTCCAGTGCAGGAGGTACGCCCTGCCACTGCATATTTTCACCTGTTTCCCACTGATTCTGTGCCTTCCCCCCTTCCTCCATATGTGCACACCTCCACCAATCTTTTAAGGTCCATATGTAGAACCTACAATTCTGAGAGCTGCTTAAAAATTAATAAATTGTATAGGTCCTATGTGTATCTGTGTGTATGTATATGTATGTGTATGTGTGTGTGTGAGAGAGAGAGAGAGAAAGAGAGAGGGAGCAGAGAGGAGAGAGAAAGAAAGAGAGAGAGAGAGAGGAGAAAGAGGGAAAAAAGAGAGACTGGAGTTTGAATTCAGGAACCTGTGCCTGCTAGGCAAGTGTTTTACTATTTGAGCCACATGTTCAGCCCACCAATGGATGAGTCACAAAATAAGGGGCAGTTAGGGGGCATGCCTTAGTAGTACAGTGTTTGCCCAGTATGCTCAAGCTCTAAGTCTGATATTGAACACTATAAAAATATAAGGTAAAATAAAAAATAAAAGGATAGGAAACAGTCTTAAAGAAGAAAACACACAGCAAGATCCCACAATGTACCAGGCACTGGTAGCTCACATCTGTAATTCTGGCTACTCAGGAGGCTGAGATAAGTGGATAGTGGTTCAAAGAAAAGCATAATGCCTAAGACTCCAATTAACCACAAAAAGCCAGAAATGAAGGTGTGGCTAAAGTGGTAGAGTGCCAGCCTTGAGTGAAAAAGCTAAAGGCCAGCATACAGGCTCTGAGTCTGAGCCATAGTACCACCCCCACCCCCCACCCAGGAATGAAAAGTGAGAAAGTGGCACTGTACCGGGCTCCAAGGCAAACTAGGATCTGAAATTTGCCGTCTTTCCCGATGCTCCTAGGTGCAGCGTTGATTGAGCTCACGTAGTGGCAGAAGGTTTTGCAGGACGACCTCTGAACAAGGGCATCAGCCTCACAGTACACAATCTGCTCAGTGGTTTCGAAATAAGCTACAGCTCTCTCTGAGGAAAGAAAGCAACCACACCAATGCTTCCCATACAGCACGACTCATCATTTATCTTATTCTGGAGCTGGTCCTCTAGCTCAAATCATGACTTCATCATGCAAGGGAGAATGACTTCCACATGGCCCCATGCTTCATGGCAGCACAGTATGCTCCCAGTAAGGACTTTTCTAACCAAGGCTGCATTCTAGAAGATTGGAAAGTTTACTCTATGGCACTGGAGTTTGAACCTACAGCTTCATGCATTCTAGGCAAGCATTCTACCACTGATCTATATCTCCAGCGTTTTTTCTTATTTACTAGTATATACTAATTATACAAAGGGATTTTATTGTAGTATTTCCATATATGCATATGATGTACATTGATCAAATTCTATTCCACTACTCTTTCTTACTCTTTTCCCCCACTTTAAAGTTTTTTTTTTCTTTCTTTCTGTGTGCTGGTCCTGGGACTTGAACTCAAAACCTGGATGGTATGCCTAAACTTTTTTTTTGGGGGGGGGTCTGGTCGTGGGGCCTGAACTGTGGGCCTGGGCGTTGTCCCTCAGCTCTTCAGCTCAAGCTAGCGCTCTACCACTGAGCCATAGCACCACTTCCGGCTTTTTTCTTTTTGCTTATGTGGTGCTGAGGAATCGAACCCAGAGCTTCAGGCATGCAAGGCAAGCGCTCTACCACTGAGCCACCTTCCCAGCCCCTGCCTAAACTTCTTTTGCTCAAGACTAGTGCTCTATTACTTGAGCCACGTTCTGGAGCTCCACTTCTGACTTCTTTGGTGCTTACTTGGAGATAGGAGACTCATAGACTTTCCTGCCCCAGTTGGCTTTGAACTGTAATCATCAGATCTCAGCTTCATAAGTAGCTAGGATTATAGGTATGAGCCACTAGCATCTGGCTTCCCTTGAAATGATTTAGTCTATTTTCATATATGAATATGAATATTGTGACCATATCCTTGTATCCTCTCCTTTTGTTTTTTTGTTGTCACTTCTGCTTGCTAGTATCTGCAAACAGTCCCCTTGTTTTATACTTTTTTTTTTTACATCTAGTATTGGCATAAGACAGTGAACATGTGGTATTTCTCTTTCTAGTTTGGTTTATTTTTCTTAATGTAATGCCTGCCAGTTCTATCCATTTTTCCTGCAAATTTACAACTTCATCCTCTTTATGGATGATATACTCTGTGGTGTATATTTACCACACTTTAGTCATTTATCAGGTGATGAATAGCCAGGTGGATTCGATAGCATGGCTATTTTAAGTAATGTTGTAAATAAACATGAGTGAGGTACATTGATTGTTGACCTGCATGCCTTCGGATACCCAGCCAGGAGGAGCGTAGCTAGGTAGTTTTATTGTTAGTTTCTTGAGAAAGCTCCATTTGACTTTTGCTTAAGTCTTTTTGCTCAAGGCTAGTACTCTATCACTTGAGATAGCTTCTGGAGCTCCACTTCTGACTTTTTTGGTGTTTAATTGGAGAAGAGCAGACTTCCATCATAGCAGCACTAAGTGTATGTGGGTTTCTTTCCCCTCATCCTTGCCTGCATTTGTTGTATACTCAGGTATACAGGTTGGCCTCAAATTTGCTCTGGAGCTCAGGGTCCCTTTAAGCTCTTTATCCTCCTATATCAATTTGCTATGGCTCAAAGTGGTAGAGCGCTAGCCTTGAGCAAAAGAGCTCAGGGACGGTGTCTAGGCCTTGAGTTCAAGCCAAAAAAACGGACAAAAAAACTCACAAGTTGGGTGCTGGTGGTTTGTGCCTATAATCCTAGCTACTCAGGAGGCTGAGAACTGAGGATCTCATTGCAAAACCAGCCAGGGGTAGGAAAGTCCATGAGACTCCTATCTCTACTACACTACCAAAAAAGCTGGAAGTAGAGCTGTGACTCCAGTGCTAGAGCATTAGTCTTGAGTAAAAAAATCTCAGGGTCAGTGTCCAGGCCCTGAGTTCAAGTCCTAGTACCAGCACAAAAGAAAACAAAAACCCTCCTTAATCACTAGCCCTATTCACTTGAATTTATACATACTGGAGTTTTCCAAGAAGCCTCTCAATGACCTTCTAACAATGACTATCTGCTTAACTTACCCACGAAGTCCCAGATGAAGACATTCTTGTGAAAGATGCGGGCGGACTTGAACCCATGGTGGAAAACTTGCTCGAGTGCTGCTACCAGTCCGTTTTCTCCACACAGCAGCACAGTGAGGCTCCCTCTCTGTGAAGCATCACACACAGTGCTAGGGCTGAGGGAGCAGGTCTCTGTAGCCAGCCCAGAGCTTACCCAGGAGAACCCAGTATGTGCACTGCCCACTGCGCCACCTGCACGAGCAGTGCGCAAAGCCCCTCAGGCCCATGTGATGGCCCCAGTACCTCTTTCTCAGGTTTGTGAAAATGCTTCACAATGTTGTTCACAGCTTCTCCAATTCCTTCTTGGATCTGTCCAGCATTGGGTTCTGGAAAAGAATGAACACAGTGGCTGCATTCTCATGAGAGATAAACAAAGCCAAGTATTATGGGGTGTCACCGGTGGCCACTCTGCAGGAACCACTGCACTGGAGCAGGCTGGCTTGGCCAAGCACTTTATCTTGGCACAATGGAAAGAATCTAGGCTGGGCACCAGTGGCTTGTAATGCTAGCTACTCAGGAGGCTGAGATTCTGAGGATCTTGGTTCACAATCAGCCTGGGATGGATTTAAAGGAATCCAAGTGATCCCTAGATTCAATTTCAGCCGATGGCATACAACCTCTAACCCAAGCCACGCAACTGCTTTCCTCTGACAAAACACCTGTTATGTGTGAGGTTTAAGTCACCTGGTCTGAAGCCTATCACAAAATGCTATTAGTTCTCTAGGTGTGAGGAGCTGGTGGGGAAGACCCCTACCTGTGTCTCTCAGATGCTCCCCACCTTTGGTCTCCTGGATGGGTAAAGGCAAAGGTCTTCCTCCCTTTCCTCCCTCCCTTTCTTCTCCTCCCTCTCTTCTTTCCTTCCCCTTTTTTTGTGTGCCAGTACTGGACAGAACCACTTGAGCTACACCTCTACTTCCTGCTTTTTTCTGGTTAACTGGGTAAGAGTCTCACAGACTTTTCTACCCAGGCTGGCTCTGAATCATAATCCTCAGACCTTAGCCTACTGAATGGCTGGGATTCCAGGCATGAGCCACTGGTGCCTGGCATCGATTTTCTTTCTTAATCTCCTGGCCATAGCATGAATGCAGCTGTTGTCTGTTAGTGGCTGGAGGCCACATATGACCTTTGTGGCACATTGGAAAGCAGTACTCACTGGTGGCCTTTCCTGTCAGGGAGGTGATGCTCAGTCTCCTGGCGCTTGTGGGCGACTTCTGCTGTGGGGGAGTGCGGCACTGCCGCGCCAGGTCCTCGTCCGATGTGGATGCCATGAGCTCTCCGATGAGGACCCTCTCCAGGCTCCCGTCATCAATGCCTCTGCCCAGCCACCGCCCGCATGGGAATCTGCAGGGCACACTGCCTGCTCAGTTGTTGTTTTGGTTTATTCATTTTAATTAGATGTTTAAGATGGAAATGGTAAAGCCTAGCGTGTTAATGCCTGAAGGCTGTTTATTTATGAAAAATAAGAAAAGTAGAGAGGAGAGTATGGTGGACATCCATACTCTTATCACAGACTTAACATTTTGCCATGTGCTTCTTTTTCTTGTTGAATTTTTGTGGGTATGGGGCTGGGTACTGTCCCTTAGCTCTTCAGCTCAAGTTGAATGCTCTACCACTTAAACCACACTTCTGGTTTTCTGGTGGTTAACTGGAGATAAGAGTCTCATGGACTTTTCTGCCCAGGCTGGCTTTGAACCACAATCCTCAGATCTCAGCCTCCTGAGTAGCTAGGATTACAATTGTGAGCCACAAGTGCCTGGTTCTGTCTGGTTACTTTTGGGCAGATTCTTTTGAAAGCACAAGTCCAGCTAGAAGGAGGTCACAGAAGCAAAAAAAAAAAAAAAAAAAGGATGTCCACATAGGGTAGTGCAGGTGACAGCTGAGAGGACATCTTTCTTAATTGTTTTAAGCTTCCTTTATGCTTTTTGAAGGCTGGCCTCCAACTCCAGCTTCCCACATCCTGGAAGTATAGGTGTGACCACCAGGTGCAGCTTTTTAATTTGTATTTATTTATAATTGTTATTATAAAGGTGATATACAGAGGGAATATAGTTTCATAAATCAGGTAATGAGTACTTAACTTTATATTATATAAATAAAGCAATATACAAGTGGTAGAGTACCTGCCTAAAAACTGGGAGGCCTTGAGTTCAAACCTCATAAGTTAAAAAAAAAAGGTAGTAGAAAAAGCTTTAGAACAAAAACCATTTACAACCTTGTGTCACCTGCTCCTGAGGTCACTTGCTTACCTGTATGTATGTCCTGTGATCTCATTTCTGACCATAACACAGTCCACTAGCCATTTGGCTAACAGTCCGGAGTTATCATGACCGATCTGAACAGTGGTAAGCTTCCCCAAGTTCTGGCACTGCAGAGACAGGACCATAGCTGAATCAGAACCGTGATCCCACCTCAGCTTTGCATTCTTCTCAGCTTTGCAGTAGAACTTAGCTCCATCTCATAACTAGAGACCTATTGTGCATTTTCTCTAGAGAAACAAACTAGGGAGCCCCATGGAGAGACAGGAGAATGATGAACACTGGCCATCCATCATGGTGGGTGCCAGACTACAGACCTAACAAGGGCAGAAGAAAGCTATGGAGGAACCTAGAAACCTTATTCATCATAAAACAGTGATTTGTCTTGAAGGATGACAGGGATTTCAGTAAGTTGGAAAGGGTGCTAGCTAGAAAAAAAATGAAGCCAAGTGCTAGTGGCTCATGCATGTAATCTACTATAGCTATGTAGGAGGCTGAAATCTGAGGATCAAGGTTCAAAGCCAGCCTTGGCAGGAATATCTGAGACTTTTTTGGCTGGCCCTGTGGCTTGAATTCTCTACCACTTTTGACACAGTTCTACTTCTGGCTTTTGGTGATTAACTGAAGGAAGAGTTTCAGGAATATTCCTGCCCAGGCTAGCTTCGAACTATGATCCTTAAATTCTTCTGAGTAGCTAGGATTACAGGTATGAGCCCCCAGCATCTGGCTTGTAAGACTTTTATCTCCAATTAATAACCAAAAACCCAGAAGTGGAGGTGTGGCTCAAGTGGTAAGAGCTTCAGCCTGGGATGAAAAAGCAAAGTTTGGACAGAAAGAGATTGAAAAATAAGTAAGATAAATGAATTATCAAAAGAGATTCAAAATTTCAAAGAAGAGATGCATTCAAAAATAGATGCAGCACACACCTCTTTAAAAGAAAAAATTAATACTTTGAGAACCAACATAGAAATCATAAATGATTCAATTTCCTCCATGCAAACCACAATGGAAGCCACAGTTAATAAAGTGAATGAAATGGACTATCAGGTACTGAAGACAAAATGCAGGAACTGGAAATAAAAGTCATAGATATGGAAAAAACACTCAAAATATGTCAAAGGGAAATCCAAGAACAAGCAGACAGTGCCAAAAAAGTTGGCTCAGTGGTAGAGCGCTTGCCTTGCATGCTCGAGGTCCTGGGTTCGATTCCTCAGCACCACATAAGCAAAAAGTAAAAAGCTGGAAGTGGCACTGTGGCTCAAGTGGTAGAGCACTAGCCTTGAGCTGAAGAGCTGAGGGACAGCGCTCAGGCCCAGAGTTCAGGCCCCACGACCGGACCCCCCCCCAAAAAAAATTAACCTTCCTATAATTGAGATTGACGAAGGTGAGAAATACCAGAACAGAGGGATGCAACACATATTCAACACGATTACTGCCAAACATTTCCCTAATCTTAAAAGAGAATATCTGACCTACATAACAGAAGCATGCCGAACACCTAGCAAACAGGATCCCAGGAGGAACACTTCTAGGCACATCATAGTAAAAATGCTAGAGCTGAACAATAAAGAAATGATCTTGCATGCAACAAAAACAAAGAATGAGCTATACTACAATGGGAAAAAAAGTCAGAATCACTGCGACCTCTCCACACAGACACCGAATGCAAGGAAAGCCTGGGAAAGTACCACCTGAGCCCTGAGAATAACTGCTAACCCAGACTGCTATATCCAGCGAAACTAGCATTCACATTCGACAGAGAAACTAAATTTTTTAATACTAAAGAAAAACTAAATGAATCCATAAACAACAAGCCAGCACTACAAAGAATATTAAGAGGGGGATTACAATCTGAAGAAAACAGGATCAGGAATCTACTTCAGACAGACATCTCTAGAAGACCAACTTAGTAAGCACAGGAGGAAAGGAAAGAAGAAACACAGGAAAGCAGGAAAATGACAGGAAACACAATGCATCTCTCTATAATAACCATAAATATTAATGGGCTCAATTCACTAATCAAAAGAAAAAGAACTGCAGATTGGATCAGAAAACAAGACTCATCTATCTGTTGCCTTCAAGAAACCCATATCACAGCCAAGGATAAAAACAAACTCTGAGTGAAGGGATGGAGGAAGACCTACCATGCAAATACTCCCAGCAAGAAGGCAAGAGTTGCCATCCTGATATCTGACAAACTTTTCATTAAAATAATACAAAAAGACAAAGAAGGACATTACATATTAATACAGGGAATAATCCAAGAAGAGGATATTACCATTATCAATTTATACAATCCAAACATTGGAGCACCCAAATACTCTTAAGCAAATACTCTCACATTTACAGGGAAAACACAGATGAAATTCAATACTAGGAGACTTTAATACTCCACTCTCACCAAAGGACAGGTCTATCAACCAAAGGATTGACAAAGAAGCCTCCAAATTAAATGATACCATATTTCAAGTGGACTTAATTGACATATACAGAGTTTTCTACCCAACAACAACTCAGTACACATTCTTCTCAGCAGCCCTGGAACTTTCTCCAAAAATAGATCCTATCATAGTTCATACAAAGAATTTAAGCAAATACAAGAGGACTGACACAATCCCCTGTATTCTGTCCAACCATAGTGGAATCAAGCTAGTTCTCAATAACAAAACATACAATGGAAATTACTCAAACACATAAAAATTGAACAGCATACTTCTGAGCAACACCTGGGTCACAGAAGAAATTAAAAAGTTCTTACAATTCAATGAAAATGAATATACATCACTAAGAAACCTATGTGAAACAGCAAAAGCAGTCCTGAGGGGCAAATTTATTGCTCTTGGTCCCCTTATCAAGAAATTAGAGACAGACCAAGTAAATAATCTCATGATGCAATTAAAACTGGTAGAAAAGCAAGAAAAAATTGAAACCAAAGTTACTAGATGGAGTGAGATAACCAAATAAGAGCTGAACTTAATGATAGAGACTAAGAAAACTATAAATAAAATTAATAAAACAAAAAGCTGGGTTTTTATGAAAAAAAATCAATAAAATTGACAGACCTCTGGCAAGATTAATTAAAAAAAGCGAGGAGACCCAAATCAGTAAGATCAGGGATGCTACAGGAAAACTTACAACAAATACCCAAGATATCCAAACAATTATAAAAAACTATTTCCAGAATCCATACTCACTAACGAAGGAAAACCTAGCAAAAATGGATGAACTTTTAGACACATACAAATTGTCCAAACTCAACCAAGAAGAAATAAATCAATTAAATAAGCCAATAGCTTACAATGAGATAGAGGAAGCAATTAGAAACTTTCCAACAAGGAAAAGCCCTGGACCAGATGGATTCAGAATGGAATTCTATAAGACCTTTAAAGAGAAACTAATACCCATACCCCTCAAATTACTCAGAGAAATAGAAACAGAGGGAGCAACCCCAAATTTATTCTATGAAGCCAATATCACATTCATCCCAAACCAGGCAAAGACCCAACAAAAAAAGAGAACTATAGACAAATCTCTTTGATGAACACAGATGTAGAGTTCCTCAATAAAATTTTAGCCAACAGCATCCAGAAACATGTAAGAAAAAATCATACGTTATGATCAAGTAGGCTTCATCCCAGAGATGAAGGGATGGTTTAAAAGCCACATACAACATACCAATAGCCAATCTTATATTAAACAGGGAAAAATTACAACCAATTCCTAAAATCAGGAACAAAGCAAGGATGCCCACTGTCTCTACTCCTTTTCAATATAGCTCTGGAATCTTCAGCCAGTGCAATAAGGAAAGAAAAGGACATTAAAGGGATCTGCATAGAAATTAAACTTTTCCTATTTGCAGATGACATGATATTATACCTTAACAATCCCAGAAACTACAATCCCAAACTCCTAGAGCTTATAAACTACTTTGGCAAAGTAGCAGTATACAAAATTAACCCACAAAAATCAGCTGCCTTTCTGTACACCAACAATTTATAAGCAGAAAAGGAAATGAAGGAAATAACCACATTCACAATAACCTAAAAAAAAAATCTAGGACTTAACCTAACCAAAGATGTAAAGGAACTATTTAGTGAAAACTATATATATATAAAAAAAGAAAACTAGGGGCTGGGAAGGTGGCTTAGTGGTAGAGCACTTGCCTTGCATACCTGAGTCCCTGGGTTCGATTCCTCAGCACCAAATAAGAAAAAAAGCCGGAAGTGGCGCTGTGGCTCAAGTGGTAGAGTGCTAGCCTTGAGCTGAAGAGCTGAGGGACAGCACCCAGGCCCAGAGTTCAGACCCCACGACCAGACCCCCCCCCCCCAAAAAAAAGTTCTTTGGGCTGGGAAGGTGGCTCAGTGGTAGAGTGCTTGCCTTGCATGCCTGAGGCCCTGGGTTCGATTCCTCAGCACTACGTAAGCAAAAAGAAAAAGAGCCGGAAGTGGCGCTGTGGCTCAGGTGGTAGAGTGCTAGTCTTGAGCTGAAGAGCTGAGGGATAGTGCCCAGGCCCAGAGTTCAGGCCCCACGACCGGACCCAAAAAAAAAAAGAAAAAAAGAAAACTACAAAAGCCTAAAAAAAGAAATCATAGAGGACACCAGCAAATGGGAAGATTTTCCATGTTCTTAGATAGGCAGAATTAAAATAGTGAAAATGGCCATGATATACAAATTTAATGCAATTCCCATCAAAATCCCAATTTACTGAAATAGAGAAAACATCCAAAAATTCATATGGAACAATCAAAGATCTAGAATAGCCAAAACAATTCTAGGCAAAAGAAACAACTCGGCGGGGGGGGGGGGGGGGGCCCGGGGGGGGGGGGGGGGGGGGGGAGGCCTGGAGGTAGGGGGAGGATGGGAAGGGATGGGAAGGGGAAACCAAGGAGGAGGCTACAATGCTTGATAAGAAATGTACTCATTATCTTGCCCATGTAATTGTAACCCCTCTGTACAGTATTTTTACAATAAAAAAAAAAAGAAACAAGTCAGGAGGGATTATAATACCAGATTTCAAGCTCTACTATAGAGCCATAATAACAAAGACAGCTTAGTATTGGCACAAAAACAGACCCAAAGACCAATGGAACAGATTAGAAGATCCAAAAATAAAATCACATACCTATAGTTAGCTGATATTTACAAAGGAGCCAAAAACATACAGTGGAAGAAGTACAGCTTCTTCAACTACTGGTGCTGGGAAAACTGGACAGCCACATGCAGAAAACTAAAAGTGGACCTCATACTGTCACCATGCACTAGCATTAACTCAAAATGGATTAAAGACCTTAACATCAAACCTGATACTCTGAAACTACTGCAGGACAGAGTAGGGGAGAGACTTGAACTTACAGGCACAGGCAGGAACTTCCTGAACAGACTCCCAGGGTCACAACAAATTGGAGAGAGACTAGACAAATGGCATTACCTTAAAATAAAAAGTTTCTGCACAGCTAAAGACAGGTAACCAAACTAGAAAGACAGCCAACTAATTGGGAAAAAATATTTACCAGTAATATATCAGACCAAGGCCTAATATCTATTATATACAGGGAACTCAAGAAACTAATCCCTCCCAAATCTAACAAACCAATCATTAAATGGGCACAGGAGCTAAAGAGAGACTTCTCAGAAAAAGAGATAAAAATGGCAAAGAAACACATGAGGAAATGATCATCATCCCTGGTTGTAAAGGAAATGCAAATAAAAACAACCCTGAGGGGGCTGGGAAGGTGGCTCAGTGGTAGAGCTTTTGCCTTGCATGCCTGAGGCCCTGAGTTCGATTCCTCAGCACCACATAAACAAAAAGAAAAAAGCTAGAAGTGGCGCTGTGGCTCAAGTAGTAGAGCGCTAGTCTTGAGCTGAAGAGCTGAGGGACAGCGCCCAGGCCCAGAGTTCAGGCCCCATGATCGGACCAAAAAAAAAAATAGAGAAAACCCTGAGATAACACCTTACCCCAGTCAGAATGGCCCGCATTCTAAATTCAGCCAATGACAAATGCTGGAGGGGATACAGAGAAAGAGGAACGCTGTTTCACTGCTGATGGGAATGTACACTAATACAACCATTTTGGAAAGCAGTCTGGAGGTTCCTCAGAAAGGTAAATATAGGCCTCCCCTATGACCCAGCCATGTCACTCCTAGGCATCTACCCTGAGCAACAAGAACCAGGAAACAAGGACACATGCACCTCCATGTTCATGGTAGCACTGTTCACAATAGCCAAGAAATGGAAACAACCCAGATGCCCCACTACAGATGAATGGATCCAAAAAATATGCTACCTATATACAACGGAATATTATGCAGCCATTAGAAAGGCAAAATAATGGCATCTGCAGGGAAATGGAACTAGAAGAAATCATTTTGAGCAAAAAAATACAACAAAAAACTAAGCAAGTCAATGCAGCGATGGGAAGGAAGGAATGAGAGGGAAAGAGGGAACAGATAAGCAAAAGGAAAGAAATGTAAATATCACCTGATGTGGAAAAAATAGTTGTGTTGTCAAAGCTCATAGAAATCACAAACATTATAGACCATGATAATGACAATTTGCCTTATGAAGGTTAAAATGTGATTGTGACTTTAAGTATCACTATCTCACAATACTATATTATAACACAGACCTTTAATCTTTCATGAACAGATGGCTGTGAGTCCATTACTCCTGCAGAATGCTACAACTGGAAGAAGAAATTGCTATTCTTAGAGCCCAGGAACAGGAGGAGAGACTTGAAGTTAGATCTACTTCCCTCCTGAAAACCAAACAGGTCTTCCTATGTATCAGAACTAACCTGCATGTGGACTCAAATACAAGGAATCCTTCACCAGATGAGACCACAAAGCTGATTATAATATTATTTTTTGTGTGTGTTTGCTGGTACTAAGACTGAACTCAGGACCTGGGAGCTATCATTTAGCTTAAGGCTGGTGCTCTACCATTTGAGCTACAGTTCCAATTTTGGCTGGTTAATTGGAGATAAGAGACTCTCTAGAGCTGGGGTACTGATGGCTCATACCTGTAATCCTAGCTACTCAGGAGGCTGAGATCTGAGGATCTCGGTTCAAAGCCAGGTTGGGCAGGAAAGTCCACAAGACTCTTATCTCCAATTAACCACCAGAAACCAGAAGTGGCGCTGTGGCTCAAGTGGTAGAGCACTAGCCTTGAGCTGAAAAGCTAAGGGACAGTGCTCAGGCCCAGAGTTCAAGCCCAATGACCGACGGAAAAAAAAAAAAAGAGAGAGAGAGAGAGACTCTCTGGGCAATGTTTATGCCTGAGCTGGCTTCAAACCTGGGTCCTCACATCTTAGCCTCCTGAGTAGCTTGGATTACAAGCATGCACGAGCCACTGGTGCTTACCTAAAAGGGAATTTCATAAAATCACTTGAAGTAAGTGGTATGTTAGATTTTTTTTTTTGGTGTCTCTCTGTGTTCTGAAGAAGACTAGGTCTATGCTTCCTCTTCATAATTGGCCCTTGATTTCTCCTGATTTTTGATGGTTTGCTTTTCTATTAGGTTTAAGTATCCTCATCTGGTTTGCTTTGCTCATGTAAAACACTTTTGTTGGGTTTGATTCTACACACCTTATATGGATTTGGCCTATATAAGGTTTGTGCTAGCTGCATTCAGGGCTGCTGGTCTTTGAGACATGAGTCCACCAGCAGTCCTCCAAGCTCTCCAATAGACTCATAATTTGGCCCTTTTTTTTGGGGGGGGTCGATTGTGGGGCCTGTACTCTGGGCTTGGATGTTGTTCCTCAGCTCTTCAGCTTAAGGCTAGCACTCTACCACTTGAGCCACAGCACCACTTCTGGCTTTTTCTGCTCATGTGGAATCGAACCCAGGGCCTCATGTATGCAAGGCAAGCACTCTACCGCTGAGCCATCTTCCCAGCTAATTTGGCCTTTTAAGTGGTGGCTTCTCTTATCTTGCCAACTGAGTTTCCTTACAGCAGTTCTAAAAGCCATGAGCATGCAAGTGTTGGAACTCTGGTGCTTGTGTCTAAGGATAGCTGGATCCAGGATGGGAAGAAGCATTTCCAATGCTCTCTGCTTGGGAGAATCTATGTCCAGCACTGGAAATCAAGGAATAAGACCTGGTATAGCCCATTACAAGCAGAAAGGTAGCACTTAACAAAGAAAATAATAACAAGACTAGACTAATGTAAGATGCATTAGATAACAACAGCCTATGATAAAATAGCCTATAAATGCAGAAATAATCTGGTCTGCTTATGTGTTCTTTATTTTATTTGATTCAAAGAAAAAAATGAAAGCAAAACTAGACTCCTATAGAGGAAATAGGACACTTTCTGTTTGGACTGAGATGAGCTGACTTACCTCAAAAGTCATCTCCAGGAGGTTTTTGGGAATCTGCATTACTCCTGTATCTCCTAGCTCTCCTGACACACAGATCCAGGGGTTTGACGTGATGATCGCATTGCTCAGCTTTTTAATTGGGATGATCACTGACCTATAGGGAATCACTGAAAGAAAAAGGTAGAAATTCATGAAAAAATATAATTAGGGATTATTATCTATGTATCCACCCATGAATCCAATCTATGTATCAATATCTATTAATTTGCTTTTCAGAGATAACTTGCTTTGTATGATTTTTTTTTTGCTAGTCCTGGGGCTTGAACTCAGGGATCTGTGCACTGTCTCTGAGCTGCTTTTGCTCAAGTATAGCACTCTACCACTTGAGCCATAGCACCACTTCTGCCCTGGCTGGCTTTGAACCAATGCAATCTTCAGATCTCAGCTTCCTTAGTACCTAGGATTAAAGGCATGAGCCACTGGCACCTGGCTCCTGAGCTTTCCTGTTCAAAGCTAGTGCTCTACCACTTGAACTACAACTCCACTTCTAGCTTTTTGGTGGTTATTCAGAGCCCAAGCATATAGGGGTTCTATCCCCTAGCTTTTCTGTTCAAGGCTAGCCTTCTACACTTGAGCCACAGCTCTAACTTTTTTCTGGTTAACTGGAGATAAAAGTTACATAGACTTTCCTGCTTAGGCTTGTCTTCAAACCATGATCTTCAGATCTCAGCCTCTGGAGTTGCTTGCTAGGATTTCACAACAGGAATAAGCCACAGGAACCCAGCTCAAACTGGGTTTTCTGGTGGTTTATTGGAGATAAGAGTCTCATGGACTTTCCTGCCAGGGCTGGCTTTGAACCACGATCCTTAGATCTCAGCCTCCTGAGTAGCTAGGATTACAGGTGTGAGCTACCATGCCCAGCTGACTTTTTTTTTGGGGGGGTGGTACTAGTACTGGGGCTTAAACTCCACGGCCTGGGGTGCTATCCTTTAGTTTTTTCCACTGAAGCCTGGAGCTCTACCACTTGAACCACAACTCTACTTCTTGCTTTTTGCTGGTTAAAGATTGGAGTCTCAGGGATTTTCCTGCCTGGGATGACATTGAACCATGAACCTCAGATCTTAGCCTTTTGAGTAGCTAGGATTACAGGTGCTCAGGAGTAAATTGTTGATCATACTGACAAGGTTCTTCTAATGATGGGCCACTAGATGTCACTGTTCTACCATATAGATCTTGGCTCAAGCTTGGCAGCATGAAGTTAGACATTATATGTTTTGTCTTTTCAAATGGGGTTAACTCAAACTTATTTGTATATCTGTGCGTATGCATATGCTTGTGTACATTGGTACTGGGACTTGAACTCAGTTGTGTGTACAGTATCTAAGCTTTTTCACTCAGAGCTGTTATTCTACCACTTGAGCCACAGCTCTGTATCTGGCTTTTTTCAGTGGTCAATTGGAGACAAGAGTTTCATGTACCTGGGCTGGCTTGGAACTGTGATCCTCAGATCTCAGCCTCTGGAATAGCTAGGATTACAGGCGTGAGCCACTGATGCCTGGTGAATCAATACTTTTGGCTGATTTCTGTAACTTTCTGGGATTTCTACACAGTCCCAAGAGGGGCATTAGGACTCGTCCTAGAGACAGATACAAACAGGATGGGAAACTCACTCCAGACAAGGCAAAATAGATATAGCCTCACAATATGAGCTCAAGATCAGCCAACTCATATCAGGAAAGTGGGTAGAGTAAATGATTCATCTCCCTAAATGTACACAAATGACTGTGTGTTGGGTGGACAAGCTCCTTTCTGATCCTTTTATTTTTGCTGAAGGGAGGAAATTTCTAGAGAAAGCCCATCCTTTCATGGTTTAGTCAAATGACTTTTGAAATGGAAAGCGGAAGGGAGTGCTAGAGATGGTGTTCATGTCTTGCATTGCTAGGATTAGAAAAGGCCAAGGTAAGGTCAGCAGTCAGGGCTGCAGAGGCCTACAAAGGCACAACAGTGATTTCACAGTTTAAGTATAAAAATAGCAATCTTATTAAACCAGAATACTTTTTTTTTTCATGAAGCAGTTCAATTCTTCAGATAAAGAGAAACCTAGGAATCCTAAATGGGTTTTTCTTCTTTTAAAACTGCAATGCTACATGCAAGTGACTTACGCCTATAATCCTAGCTACTCAGAAGGTTGAGATATAAGGATAATGATTCAAAAGCCAGCCAAGGCAGGAAAGTCCATGACTCTTCACCACCAAAAATACAGAAATAGAGCTGTAGCTCAAGGGGTACAGCACAAGCTTTGAGATAAAAGCTAAGTGACAGAGTCCAGGCTCTGAGTTCAAGCCCCAGCACTGGCAAATGTAAACAATATCTTGAGGCTTTTTTTTTTTTTTGGTCAGTCCTAGGGCTTGAACTCAAGGCTTGGGCACTGTCCCTGAGCTTCTTTTGTTCAAGGCTGGCACTCTACCACTTGAGCCACAGCACCACTTCTGGCTTTTTCTGTTATTTGGTGCTAAGGAACCGAATCCAGGGCTTTGTGCCTGCTAGGCAAGCACTCTATCACTAAGTCATATTCCAACCCCCCCCTCTTTTTTTTGAGATAACGTCTTGCTACATTATGTAGTCCAGATTGGCCCTGAATTTATGATCCTTCTACCTCAGCCTCTTACCTTCTAGGATTACAAGAGTACATCAGCATGCTCTATCCTTACTCTTTACATTCTTCCCATCCCCTGTACTGGGGTAAAATGCTGGACATAAGAGATGGTATTCTGGATTCTTTTTGTTGTTGTTGTTAGTTGTGGGGCTTGAACTCTGGGGCCTGGGTGCTGTCCCTGCACTCTTCAGTTCAAGGCCAGCACTCTACCACTGAGCTGTCACAGCACCACTTCAGTTTTCTAGTGGTTAATTGGAGGTAAGAGTCTCATGGACATTCCTGCCCAAGCTGGCAGATTTCAGAGGCCTCCTTAGTAGCCAGGATTACAGGCGTGAGCCACTGGTACCCAGCTTGTATTTTGGATTCTTAAACCTATTTTAACCTCAAAAACATGTTGGTCCTACTAGTAGACATCATAACTGCCTTTCTCCTTGTTTGTCTCTACCAGAGACTGGAAAGCCAAACCTTCATAATTCTGGCCTATAAAATGTTAATGATGTTTAGTGGTATACTTCTGGAAAATTAGTTTTTTTTAAACACAGATCCTAAAGATTTATGTGTAATGGGGTTTGAACTCAGGGCCTGAGTACTGTTTCTTAGCCTTTTCATTCAAGGATGACGTTCATTCAAGGATGATGCTCTACTACTTGAGCAACAGCTCACTTCAAGCTTTTTCTGTAGTTTCACAGGTTTTCCGCCTGGCTGGCTTTGAACTCTGTCTGATCGTCTGATCTCAGCTTCTTGAGTATTTAGGAATACAGGTGTAAGCCACAACATCTGGCTGCAGTCTCACTTTTGAAAACATGATTCCCCTTTCTCCAGACTTACTGATGGTTGTAAAGACGCTGGTGAAGCAGAAATAGTCCACGGCATTGAGGGAGAGGAGATGGTACAGAAACTGTTCTCTCTCTTCTTCACAACGCAGGAAAGCATAGCGCTTATAGAGCTTCCTAAAGGGGAAAACAAACACATGATATACTTTCCATTATGCCTTGATTCCAAATTAATACATCTACCATATAAAACAAGAGACTTTCATCTCATACAGATAATTCAAACAATGAACATATCAACAGTTAAAGCCTTTTTTTTTTTTTTTTGGGTCTGGTCGTGGGGCCTGAACTCTGGGCCTGGGAACTGTCCCTCAGCTCTTCAGCTCAAGGCTAGTGCTCTACCACTTAAGCCACAGCGCCACTTCTGTTTTTTTTCTTATATGGTGCTGAGGAATCCAATCCAGGGCCTCAAGCATGCAAGGCAAGCACTCTACCACGGAGCCACCTTCCCAGCCCCCAGTTAAAGACTTTTGTTGGTGGTGGTGGGGCTTGAACTCTGAGCCTGGGCACTGTCCCTCAGCTCTTCAGCTCAAGGTAAATGCTTTACCACTTGAGCTACAGCACCACTTTCAGTTTTCTGGTGATTTATTGGAGATAGGAGTCTCATGGACTTTCCTGCCAGGTCTGGCTTTGAACTATGATCCTCAGATCTCAGCCTCCTGAGTAGCTAGGATTGCAGGTGTGAGCTACCATGCCCAGCTGACTTTTTTTTTGGGGGGGTGGTACTAGTACTGGGGCTTAAACTCCAAGGCCTGGGGAGGATCCTTTAGTTTTTTTCCACTGAAGCCTGGAGCTCTACCACTTGAACCACAACTCTACTTCTAGCTTTTTGCTGGTTAAAGATTAGAGTCTCAGGGATTTTCCTGCCTGGGATGACATTGAACCATGAACCTCAGATCTTAGCCTCTTGAGTAGCTAGGATTACAGGTGCCCATGAGTAAACTGTTGATCATACTGACAAGAGTTTAAAAACAATGTCAGAAGCTGGCTCTAGTAGCTCACTCCTGTAATCCTAGCTACTCAGGAGACTGAGAACTGAGGATCTCGGTTGAAAGCCAGCCATGGCAGGAAAGGCCATGAGACTTTTATCTCCAATAAACCACTGAGAAAGCCAGAAGTGGCACTGTGGTTCAAGTGGTAGAGCACTAGCCTTGAGCTGAAGAGCTGAGAGACAGCACAGCACGCAGGCCCAGAGTTCAAGCCCCACGACCAAGGAAAAAAATAACAACAATAACAATAACAAAAAAACAATGGCAGAGCCAGGTCCCAGTGGCTCACACCTGTAATCCTAGCTACTCAGAAGGCTGAGTAGAAGTTCAAAGCCAGCCTGGGCAGGAAAGTCCATAAGATTCTTTTTTTTTTTTTTTCTGCTGGTTGTGGGGGCCTGAACTTGGCCTGGGCGCTGTCCCTCAGCTGTTCAGCTCAAGGCTAGTGCTCTACCACTTGAGCCACAGCACCATTTCCAGCTTTTCTGCGTATGTGGTGCTTAGGAATTGAACGCAGGGCCTCATGCCACCTTCCCAGCCCTTCCATAAGACTCTTATCTCCAGATAGCTCTGGGGGGGGGGTGAGGGGTGAGTGGAGGTGAGTGGAGCTGTAGCTTAAAGTGGTAGAAAGCGAATCTTGAGCAAAAATTGCTCAGAGACAGCATCCAGGACCCGAGTTCTAGTCCTACAACCACCAAAAACAAAATAAAACAAAGGCTATAAGAAGGATTACAGGTATGAGCCAGCAGCTTTTGGCTTTCGTTTTTTTTTTGGGGGGGTGGGATAGGGTAGGATAGGAAATTGGGGTTTGAATGTAGCAATCTGTGGTTGCAAATCAGGCACTCTACCACTTGAACCACACCCCTAGTCCTATTTGGGTTTAGATATTTTTCAATAGGGTCTCATCTTTTTGCTCAGGGCCAGCCTTAGACTATGATTCTCCTACCTAGGCCTTCCGCTGTTATCTGTGATTATAAAAATGTGTATTACCACATATGGCTTTGTTGAGATGGGTTTTTGCTACCATTGTGCCCAGGCTAGCCTCAGATTTCAATTCTTCTGATCTCTGCCTCTGGAGTAGCTAGTATTAGGTGTGACTGAGTAAGCTGGGATTATAGGTGTGATCAATCATGCCCTGCCCAGCCACTCCAGGCTTTGTTGTGAGTTTTACAGTACAAGGTTTATATTAATTCGTGTATCCTTCAGATGTTACTGTCAGCTTGTGTGGACTAGTCAGCTTCCTCCCGCACCCCATTACAGCACAGCAATCTGTTCTTTGGCTGTGCAATCTGGTGTGCGCTCCCAGAATGATCAAGTATTACAACCATGAAGTTTTACAACCATGAAGTTTCTGGAGTACATGTCTATAGGACAATAATAATACATGTGGCTTGTGAATTAGCAATTCACACTGAGATACCAGTTAGTCAGCTTACATGATACGGTCACAATGTGCTCTGCCAGCACACACTTCAGGGGAGCAGAAATGGTTCTGAAAGGCCTGGTCTTACTTGGTGAGCGGCTGGTTAGAGAGCAGCTGTTTGAGGTGCTGGGACAGAAGCTTCTTTTCCAGGGACAATCTGATCCATGCCCGAGCACGTCCCACATCAGTCTTGATCTCACTCATGCTCTGAATGTGCCTAGAGAACACAGACAACAATGAGGGCTTGGCTCTGTGTGGCTTGGAGCCTATGGACAGACTATAGGAACCACAAGACAGGAAAGCTCTTTTTGCCATCACCCACAATGTGAAGGCTGGCTAAACTCAGCCAGTCTGCATTCACAAAGCCAGCCCATGTCACCTCTGCATGGCAACTCAAGCTCACAGGCAGCATCTTATAAGGAATTATCCACACTCATGAGCTTTGCAGCTTTATGTATTTTTTTAAAATTTTTATGGCAGTACTGGAGTTTTGAACTCAGGGCTCTGAGCTATTAGGCAGGTGCTCTGCCTCCTGAAAGACACCCCTCCAACCCACTTTTTAAGGCTTTTGATTTTTTTTTTGTTTTAGTTTCAAAACACTTATAAATATTTATTTGCTTATTCCAGACCCTCAAGAGATAAAAAAAATAAGACAATCAGAATAGTCAAGTTTGTATTCACAGTGCATTTTGCCACAAGTTTAATCTACTGAGCTATTTTTCATGTGGTCTCAGATACTACGTAGAAAATACAAAATCTTACTATTTAGGATATTAGGTAAGTCCAGCTATACTGTGTTGATGATCTTAAAAACTGGGCCAGGCACTGGTGGCTCATGCCTGTAATCCTAGCTACTCAGGAGGCTGAGATCTGAGGATCGTGGTTCAAAGCCAGCCTTGGCAAGAATGTCTGTGAGACTCTTATTGCCAATAAACTACCAGAAAACCAGAAGTGGCACTGTGGCTCAAGTGGTAGAGCGCTAGCCTTGAGCTGAAGAGCCAAGGGATAGTGCCCAGGCCTAGAGTTCAAGCCCTACCACCCACACACACACAAAAAAAAATTGGAAGAGGCTTGGAAAATTGCATGGTTATTATACATTACAAAAATAATGTACCTGACATCAATGAACTATTGCATATGTACATAAATTACTATTCCAGTGAGTCTGAATCTATCTTCCTAAATGATTTTCCTCCTAAGGAAGGAAGGAAAGGAAGAAGAGCAAGAGCAAGGCAGGCCTAGGGACAGGATAGGCTGTGAAGCACGGCAGAGTAGCATCATGGAGGCTGTTTCTGTCATCCCCAGGTATACCTTTTTTTCCTTCCCTTATAGTTACAAAAATCTCTTCCAACACTTGTAGACTAATAAGAATTAGCAGGAGCTGGGCACTGTAATCCTAGCTGCTCAGGAGGCTGAGATCTGAGGATCTCGGTTCAAGGCCAGCCCGGGCAGGAAAGTCCGTGAGACTCTTTTTTTTTTTTAATTGTGAAAATACCATACAGAGGGGTTACAAATACATGGGCAAGATAATGAGTACATTTCTTATCAAGCATTGTAGCCTCCTCCTTTGTTTCCCCTTCCCATCCCTTCCAGTCCCTTCCCACCACCCCCCCACCAGCCAAAGTTGTAAAGTTCGTTTTTTGACATAACAACTTGTACATCTCATTGTTGCAATGGGTCCACCTGTATCCCTATTTAAACAATTTGATTTTTCCCTTCCCCTCCACAAATTATACCAACATCAAATACAGTAAAAGCAGGGGTTATACCGTGGGGGAGGGACATACAACAAAGAAATCGCCTTATAAATATGTTAGAAACAATTGCATGAAAGCAAAAATATTTGAATACTTATCTTGAGGTTCATTTCACCTAATCCTTGAGACTCTTATCTCCAATAAACCACTAGAAAACCAGAAGTGGTGCTGTGGCTCAAGCGGTAGAGTGCTCCCCTTGAGCTGAAGAGAACAGGGACAGTGCCCAAGCCCAGAGTTCAAGCCCCATGACCAACAACAACAACAAAAAAAGAATTAGCAGGAAGTGGTGCAGGAGCTCAAGTGGTAGAGTGCTTACTTTGAGCTGAAGGGCTCAGGGACAGCTCCCAGGACTAGAGTTCAAGCCCCATGACTGACAAAAAAGAAAAAGAAATTCAGGCTGGGAAGGTGGTTCAATGGTAGAGTGCTTGCTTCGCTTGCATGAGGCCCTGGGTTCGATTCCTCAGCACCACATAAACAGAAAAAGCCAGAAGTGGTGCTGTGGCTCAAGTGGTAGAGTGCTAGCTAGCCTTGAGCTGAAGAGTGAGCCCAGAGTTCAAGTCCCACAACTGACCAAAAAAAAAAAAAAAGATTAAAAAAAAGAATTAGCATCAAATACAATCTGCTTTTCGTCTTTTTTTGTGTGCCAGTCCTGAAGCTTGAACTCCAGGCCTTGCACTGTCCTTGAGCTTCTTCTACCCTAGACTAGCACTCTATGACTTGAGCCACAACCACTTACAGCTTTTTGGTAGTTCACTAGAGGTAAGAGTCTCACGGAGGGGCTGGGAAGGTGGCTCAGTGGTAGAGTGCTTGCCTTGCATGCCTGAGGCCCTGGGTTCTATTCCTCAGCACCACATAGCAAAAAAAGAAAAAAGCCGGAAGTGGCGCTGTGGCTCCAGTGGTAGAGCGCTAGCCTTGAGCTGAAGAGCTGAGGGACAGCGCCCAGGCCCAGAGTTCAGGCCCCGTGACTGGCAAAAAAAAAAAAAGAACAGAACTGCTTTTTTTTCCTGTCCAAGACTGGGATTTGAACTTAGTACCTGACACTTTTGCTCACTGGCTGGTGTTCTACCAAATGAGCCATACCTTCCAACCCCATCAGAATTATTTTTTTGTGTGTTGGTCCTGGGACTTGAACTCAGGGCTTGAGCCAGTACCATCCTTGACCTTTTTTTTCTAGTCTTTTTTTTTTTTTTGCTCAAGGTTGGTGCTCTATTACTTGAGCCATACATCCACTTCTGGCTTTTTATTTTTATTTTTGGGGGTGGGGGTCCAGTCATAGGGCCTGAACTCTTGGCCTGGGTACTGTCCCTCAGCTTTTCAGCTCAAGGCTAGCACTCTACTACTTGAGCCACACCATCACTTCCGGCTTTTTTTTCCTGCTTATGTGGTGCTGAGGAATTGAATCCAGGGCCTTAAGCATGCACAGCGAGCGCTCTACCACTGAGCCACCTTCCCAGCCCCTACTTCTGGCTTTTTAGTAGTTAATTAGTTAATTAGTAGTCAGCCCTGGCTGACTTTGAACTATGATCCTCAGATACCAGCCTCCTGATTAGCTAAGATTAGAGATATGGGCACCAGCAACTGGTCTAACAGAACAGTTTTACAAATAAATAATGTAACACACTGAAGAGAATGAAGAAAAAACACTTCTAAAACCTAAGCTTTGGAAACTAGTATTTTGACTGGACCTGAAACTTGAAAAACAAAAGTAGAAGTACATTAAAACAGTTATGAACTAGTGTCCAGAGTGCTATGGGCTGGTCATTGAGCAATGACTTACAAGGCTTGCCCAAATAAGCAAATATGCTGTCCATAACAAGAATCAGATCTCTGGTTGTTGGACAAAAAAATTACTAATAAGGAAAGAAGGACCCTTGGTACTAATATGAAATCAGAGACATCATTAACTCACAGTTTGAAAATTCCTGTGTACAATTATGACAAAATACATACACAGGTAAAGATGGAAACAAATGTAAAGATGCATGTGTAATGTAGCTGGTAAGCACTAGTACCCAAATATGCATTTTCCATGCTTACTTTGGGTAATCTGCATTTATTAAGTTACTGAATCTTTACTACAACATTTGAAGAAGTCCCATCACCATATTTTAGAGGCTCCTGGCTGTAGAGCTAGCTAACAGCACAGCTGAAAATGTTAATCCTGCAAACTAGTTACAGGAGCCAAGATCTCTCTCTTTCCTTCCTTTCTTCCTCTTTCCTTCCTCCCTCCCCCGCTTATTTATTTATTTATTTATATATTTTTACATTGTTAGCCCCTCCATTGTTTTCC